GCGCACGAGGCTTTGCGTCTTTTCCAGGATCGACTTGTTACTGAGGAAGAGAGAAATTGGACCTCTGATGCAATCAGGCGCATTGCACTTGATAATTTCCCCACCATCGATGAGGAACAAGCGCTAAAGGGTCCGATCCTATTCTCTAACTGGCTCTCCAAGAATTACGTGCCTGTGGAGCAGGAGCGATTGCGTGACTTCGTGAAAGCACGGCTGAAGACATTCTGTGAGGAAGAAGTCGATGTTCCCCTTGTGTTGTTCAATGATGTCCTGGAACATGCATTACGCATTGATCGTGTCTTCCGCCAGCCTCAAGGTCATCTCATTCTCATCGGTGTCAGCGGAAGTGGTAAAACCACTCTATCTCGTTTTGTTGCATGGATGAATGGATTGAAGGTATTCCAGATCAAGGTTCACGGAAAGTACTCTTCCGAAGATTTTGATGACGACCTGAGAATCGTCCTCCGCAGGGCCGGTTGTAAAGGCGAGAAGATTTGCTTTATCATGGATGAATCGAACGTTCTTGACTCTGGTTTCCTCGAGCGCATGAATACCCTCTTAGCCAACGCGGAGGTGCCCGGTCTATTTGAAGGAGATGAGTTTTCATCTCTGATGACAGCATGTAAAGAGGGCGCACAGCGTCAGGGTCTGCTCCTTGACACACAAGAAGAGCTCTACAAGTGGTTCACACAGCAAATTGTCAAGAACTTGCATGTGGTCTTCACCATGAACCCTCCTGAAGAAGGATTATCGTCCAAGGCCGCTACAAGTCCTGCCCTGTTCAACAGATGCGTGCTCAACTGGATGGGCGACTGGTCAGACCAGGCACTCTTCCAGGTCGGTTCGGAACTGACACAGTCTGTCGATCTCGACAAACCCAATTTCATTGCACCTGATAGCATACCTGTGGCTTACAGAGACTTGAGTCTTCCCGCATCTCACAGGGATGCTATTGTCAACGCCATGGTCTATATACATCACTCTCTGCAACGATTCAACCAGCGCCTGCAAAAGCAACAAGGCAAGACCACATATCTCACACCTCGCCATTATCTTGACTTTGTCGCTCACTATGTGAAACTCTTCAACGAGAAACGTGAGGACCTAGAGGAGCAGCAACGACACTTGAATGTCGGTCTCGAGAAACTGAGAGATACTGTCGATAAAGTCAGTGATCTTCGCGCCAGTCTTGCACAGAAGAAGACACAGTTGGAACAGAAAGACAAAGAAGCGAATGAGAAACTGCAGCGCATGGTGGCTGATCAACAGGAAGCGGAACGACGCAAAGCGGCATCTCTTGAGGTACAGGCAGCCCTAGAGAAGCAGGAACAAGAGGTGGCCAGCCGCAAGGAAGTTGTACTCAATGATCTTGCTCGCGCCGAACCCGCTGTGTTGGAAGCAAAGAAGAGCGTGAGCAATATCAAGCGTCAGCATCTTACCGAAGTCCGTTCCATGGGCAACCCCCCAGCTAGTGTCCGTCTTGCTCTAGATGCTGTGTGTACCCTACTTGGTCACAGGGTCGACAGCTGGAAGACCATTCAAGGCATTGTCCGAAGAGATGATTTCATTGCCAGCATTGTCAATTACAATAACGAAGAACAGATGACGAGGAACCTTCGAGTTCGGATGCAGAATGATTTCCTTTCTAATGAGGATTTCACTTACGAAAGGGTTAACAGAGCCAGTAAGGCTTGTGGTCCCCTAGTGCAATGGGTTGAAGCTCAGGTCAATTATTCCGAGATTTTGGACCGCGTCGGGCCTTTGCGTGAAGAGGTGGGCAAACTGGAAGAGAAGGCCTTGAATACCAAAGCCGAAGCGCAGGCCATTGAGAATACTATCCAGGATCTCGAAAGCAGTATTGCCACATACAAAGCGGAATACGCCGCACTCATTAGTGAAACCCAGGCTATTAAGACGGAGATGTCCAGAGTGCAGTTTAAAGTTGACAGGAGCGTTCGTTTGCTCGACAGCCTGGCGTCTGAACGCACCAGATGGGAGGAAGGAAGCAGATCTTTTGAAACACAAATCAACACTCTCGTTGGTGATGTTCTCATTGCTGCAGCCTTCCTCGCCTATGCAGGATTCTACGATCAGCAATTCCGGAAGGCTATGATTGATGACTGGGTTAACCAACTTGTGCAATCCGGAATCAGCTTCAAGCCTCACAACCCGATCACCGAGTACCTCTCGAATGCTGATGAGCGCTTAACTTGGCAAGACCACTCACTTCCTGTTGATGATCTGTGCACTGAGAACGCTATTGTCCTGAAGCGGTACAACAGATACCCTCTGATCATCGATCCTTCTGGTCGTGTTACCGAATTCTTGCAGAAGGAAAGCACGGAGAGGAAGCTCACGGTTACCAGCTTCTTGGACGATTCATTTGTCAAACAATTAGAGAGCGCCCTCCGTTTCGGAAACCCTATTCTCATCCAAGATGCCGAGTATCTGGACCCAATCCTCAACCATGTTCTTAACAAGGAATATCAGAAGACTGGAGGTCGTGTCCTCATACAGCTCGGTAAACAGGAGATTGACTTCTCACCTTCATTCAAGCTTTTCCTGTCAACAAGAGATCCGTCTGCTACTTTCCCGCCAGACGTCTGCAGTCGGACAACCTTTGTCAATTTCACAGTCACTCAAAGCAGTTTGCAGACCCAATCTCTGAATGAAGTCTTGAAGTTTGAACGGCCTGATGTTGACGCGCGACGAACCGACCTAGTCAAACTGCAAGGAGAGTTCAAGATTCACCTTCGGCAGCTTGAGAAGAGACTCTTGCAGGCTTTGAACGAGTCCCGCGGTAACATACTGGACGATGACAATGTTATCGAGACTCTCGAGACCCTGAAGAATGAGGCAGCAGAGATCTCGAAGAAGATGGTGGAGACTGAGGGTGTAATGACCGAAGTGGAAAATATCACGCACAATTACAGCATTATCGCCCGCTCTTGTAGCGCCGTGTTTGCTGTATTAGAACAACTACATCATGTCAACCACTTCTATCAATTTTCTCTTCAGTTCTTTGTTGATATTTTCCACTCTGTCCTTTATCACAACAAACGTCTCGCTCAGGAGAAGGACCATACCGCCCGAGTCCAGATCATTCTCCGGGATCTGTTCATCACAACCTACCAGCGAACTTCCCTGGGACTCGCCCAGAAGGATCGTATCACACTGGCTATGCTCCTAGCACAAGCCGCGCCATACCCCATGGAGAAAGACCTCATCGACATCATCCTCGATGAATCAACAGAGGGCGCGGATCTATCAACAACTCCTGAGCTCAAAGATCCAGTGATGAGCAGGATTTCCAACATGACGATCTTCAAATCGAAGTTCTCAGAGGTGCCCACAGAACAATGGGACCAATTCTTCAGCGAAGAGCTCGCAGAGAATTTTGTCCCGGCTGTCTGGGAAGAGAATACCGAGCCTATCAACCGGCTACTCCGATCATTGTTACTTGTGAAGCTGTGTAGGATGGATAGGTTTGTGCCGACTGCCGAGCGCTTCGTTGAGACCGTCTTTGGTCGTGAATTGTTCGAGGGAAGTACCGACTTGAAGGATATCGTTGATCAAGTGACCGCAACTACTCCAATCTCTCTTAGCTCCAGTCCAGGTTTCGACGCTAGTTACAAGGTCGATGCTCTGGTTGAGCGCATGCAGGCGACTTGTGCAAACATAGCAATGGGTTCTGATGAAGGCCTGAAGAGCGCCGATAAGGCAATCAGCAATGCCGCTACTGCAGGAACCTGGGTTTTGATCAAGAACGTACACCTGGCACCCTCATGGCTGCAGAGCCTTGAGAAGCGGCTTGACTCCCTCAAACCCCACAAGGACTTTAGGCTTTTCCTTTCGATGGAGTCCAGCCCTAAGATCCCTGTCAACCTCATCCGTGCCTCACGCGTACTCATGTACGAGCAGCCCGCCGGTGTACGTGCAAATATGAAGGACTCGTTGTCTTCATTGTCCATAAGGGCTGGCAAGCCTCCAGTCGAGAAGGCACGTGTCTATCTTCTGCTTTGCTTCCTGCACGCTGTTGTTCAGGAGAGACTTCGTTATGCTCCTAACCTTGGTTGGAAGGGCTTCTGGGAGTTTAATGATAGCGACGTAAGTTGTTTCTCATGCATATCATCAAAACAAAGCTAACATTACTTGTGCGTTCTAGTATGAATGCTGCGCCTTTATCATCGATCACTGGGTCGACAGCGTTGCCCAGGAGCGATCCAACGTCGCACCTCAGAAACTCCCATGGGACATGATGCGCACCCTTGTGACCGAGACATACGGCGGAAAAGTCGATGACATTGGCGATTTCCAGCAACTGGAAAGCTTGGTCAACAGCTTCTTCACCCCAGTGGCGTTTGAGGATGATTACAAACTGGTGTCCGGCGTCGAGAATGACGAATGTTTGACCCTCCCCAGCACAACTGGTATCCGGGACTTTGTTGAGTGGGTCAACCGACTCCCTGAGAGAGAACCACCGACGTATCTCGGCTTGCCAGCTAACGCTGAGAAACTGTTGCTTGTTGGACACGGTAACAAGGTGATTTCGGACTTGTCCAGGGTGACTACTTTGTTGGATGAAGGGGAGCAATTAATGGTCGATGCTTGAATAGAGAGTTTGTAAGCTCAAGGACTGCTAATTTCTAATCTATTCTGTCTTCTTTCTCTTTCCTTTCATTTCTTGTTGTCTACTTCTATGTCATAGGATATACTCAGCGCCGCAGGCGGATACTTTCTTGTCAATCTTGGGATAATGTATTCTGTTTCTCTTCAACGTTTTACATCCATCTGCCATTCATGCGTTGCTCTCTGCATCCATCTCCCCTGTTTTCTTGACTGTTTAGACTGTACTTTAATTGAAATCAATAGACCATTCATTCATGAATAATAATCCTGGGTCAATGCCTAGGAACGAGTCCAAAGGGCAGTCCTGCACAATCACCGAGAAACACCGATCGAGTATTAACATCTGAGTCCGTAAGCTGTAAGCTTAGAAGTTAGAACCCATACAAGGTATTCCCAAGCTGTACTCAATGAATCAGTTCCCGATGTCTATTCTGTAATACTGAGAATGAGGAAAAACTTACTCTGTTCAAAGCATAAATAACCTTTTAGATACAAACTATATTAGCATCCGCACTTCACGAGCTTGATAACGTCCACCAAGAACTCACATCGCGGGTAGTCACCACCTATATTTTACGGGAAACAGATAGTTAGCTTATGTGGTATGACTTTAATTCCTTTATCTTCTCTCTCTTTTCCTTTTGTGGGTGTTGTACACATCGAGAGAAAGGAAGGGGAGGGAGAGAATCATTACCTTCCTCTGCCGGCAATGAACGTCAGACGATTCAAGAACCAGAACCACCTGTCTCAAGATCTTCATATCATTAGCAAAAGAATAATGAAGAAGATTCATATAATTATAGCAAGAGATTGTATTAAAGACTGAAAAACGCAAGTTAAGTTAGGTAGAAACCTACCTCTGTCAGGCGGTCTCTGATGGCCCTTCGGGCCTCGTCGTATACGTCGGCTTTGATCCTGACGATTCCTCCGCGGCGAGCAAGTTTGCTGACGTATGAAAACCACCGAGGTTAGCGAATCTCCAATATGCCTGTGCAAGTCGTCTATAACAGGGGGTGGGTTTACCGGATGGCCGGTTTCGCTACAGCAATGGTTAGCAACATAAGGTGCCTGTACTGGAATAGGAGATGGAAACTCACTTATACCCATGATGTTATCTCGAATATTTCTTTTACCGGTGTCTGTTAGTGTATATTAAGGTTGGTTTCGTGGTTGGTTTCGTGGTTGGGTTCAATGTTGGGATTCCACGGCCGGTGAAATCGGTCACTTGGGGAGGTAGAGGGTTAAGACACGGAGTGGTTAACATACCTGCGACGCCGGGCTTGTTGGAATATAAGGTTTCGGGGTATGCGGGTTGTGTCCATGGTGTTTGAGTGTCAATAGATGGAGTTGTTGTGGTTAGGATGGGTGGTGTGGTAGGTTCGTGTAGAGAATCTTTAAGTAGACCCCAGGGCCAGAGTAACACCAGTCCCCTGTTTCAGATCATGGTTTCATGCCTATTGGTGAATTCATATCTCTTCAAGCTCACGGGGCTAGTCTCAATGGCGGCAAAATGGAGACTGCGTGTGAGAATCTCATAAGGCAGTGTTGTCAGTCTGCTAGAGCGTTTCTTGGCCGGAAGATCCGTGATGAGTCGAAACTGAGTTTCGAGTGAGTGAGCGAGAGTCATAATGAGAAGAGAGTATGTCCATATGGGATTGAAGTGTGGTGTTGCGTGTCAGAGGAAGGCTTCCCATTCATCGTATATTCCCATCCGAGAAAGAAGACAGTGGTGGATATTCAAGGCAACTGTGTGGAAGACTGGTAGAGTTGAATTTACGTCTGAGTGACGGATATCCACCCTTTACTGTAAGAGACGCAAGGTTCACATTCCATCGTCATCCACGAGTGCCCATAATTATCATCCTGATAGCCGTCATCCTAAGCAGGCGTGAAGGTCATAAGCTGCAGTGCACGGGTGGCTACGAGTCGTAAGTGGCTTATTTCTAAGTAGACCATCGCATTAGGAGGTCCATTGCGTGCCGGATCAGCCAGAAGATGAGGACCAAAGATTTCTTTGCGCGTTAGTTCAAGTCGTTGGGGATTCTGAGTTTGAGGGGGGGCCGGGAAAATAACCTAAATGCTGTCAGCGAATATACTAAAGAAACTTGAGGTCTTAAACATACTTCTCGCTGGCGACATACTGGCATACCGTTTCTATCACGAACATAAAGTTCGACAGCGCCCTCCACGAGCATCGTATTGCGGTTAAGGCTCCATTTAAGGATGACAACAGCACTAATATCCCCACCACCGCCGACTAGTAAAAGGTTCATATCATTCATGAGGTCGTCCCATGACTCGCTCCATCCAGACTCTATTACAAAGGATGGAAGACGATCGTTATTTGCCCGAAGGAAGAAATCAGGTTCTTTCTGGGAACCACGATATGGACCTGACTGGAACATGAGCGCTATTAAGATTTAGTAAGGAGCCGGTTGTAAAGAAGTATATGGTAACTTACTTGTACCCACTCGTGCTACGAGTTGAATTTGTTCAAAGCTGGTCAAAACTCCGGTGTCCCGCAAGTCAAGTTCACAAAGACGCCACCAATCTTGAACACAGTCGTGAATTTCCGTGGGCATGACTATGACTCGTAAGACCTTGGTCCAAGAATTATACGTTTTCCTAAGTAAATCAGTGTCAGAAGGGGTCGATGAGAGAGCCAATATGCGTTGACTTACCGCGTCGAGTATCCGTCACGTTTTTGGTTGACTGAGTCTACTGTCTGTTCACCCCACGATGAACTCACCTTTGTGAAAACTAAGATTTGAGGATTCGATGCTTTCTGAATTGCGTTGCGGACGTAAGACTCAAAGCACGACTGATCAGCGAATTTGTCCGCACAAGTAGTAATCATTGTTGGAGGGTCTAAGTTGACACCGCGAGAAAGGTTGGGACTGAGAGGGTACGACATGGTGGGCTGTTGGATCTGGTTCAGAAAATAAAGGAAATGATTAAGTGTATTGTAGAGGAAAGATCTACTCCTGTGAGAGAGGACACTGTCAAGTAGCTTATCAAGGAAAGTGGGGCGATTTAAATAACCTTAATCGAGAGTGAGTTAGCTAACTACACCAGAGTATGTATATGAAGGAGAAGTGAACCACACATACACGTGACTAACAGTATCCTTGGTTATACTCGCAATAATTCCTTGATAGGGTTCCAAGATTCTTGACCTTCATGACTAGCTGATGCTTCTCGTACCACAAACCAGCCACTTTCACTTGGAGAAATTTCACCTTGTCGCGTAGTTCATCAAGTTCATGATTAGTATCGGCCAAAGCAACGGCATGCTGGTGAACCCTCGTGCCGGACCTGGATTACCGAGGGTTTATCAGATAAGTCATGCCTCCCCGAGAACATCGGTCAGGGTTATACATGCATGGATTCTGACAATGCACCATTGAGTTTCGAGTCTCGCGGTCGTGGGTCTAGGGGCTAATGACTTGTTAGATTATGCAGAATTGAAACGTAATACATTTGATGAAGATATGTTGTAGTCGTTAAAAGCACCCGGAAATCATTCTTTCGTAGTATATTACAACAATCACCCATGACAGGTATCAGAAACAGAAGCATGCATCTAATTCCAGCCAATGCAATGTCCCAGAGCAAGGCTGCCGCGCTGGGGGTGTGTATTATATTTACATGTAGTCGAAAACAGAAGGCTACCCACGCTATAAATGCCCGATTTGTATAGTATGTGGATTGCTGTTTTGTAATAGGTCCCTCTCTTAGAGAGCCACCTTATTCATCTTTGTGTTCATCGTTTCCATCACCACCTTCTGGGGTTTTTGAGGAAGGTTGGTCCTCCTTGGGTTGTTCGTCAGCGGGAGTGTCGCCCTTCGACAAATCTGGCGATGGGGCTGTTGGTGTTGGTGTGCATTGCACTGGAGGCATTTCAGGGAAGATTTCTTTGAATAAATCTGGCAGAAACCTCTCCAGGCGCTTCTTAGTTTCGGTCCATATCTGTTCCTTGTTGGCGTCTTGTGATGGTGGAACCAGATAGCCTCCATCAGCCATGACCAAAAGGATATTCTTGAGACTTTCTGGGATAGCCTCCTCCTACGCCGAAGGTCAGTGGGTTGTGTTGTTTCCTTTCGTTTCTGTCATTCCGGGGGGAGGGGAAAGGGGGGAACAGAAAGAGAGAACGAGGGGTGATTTCTTACCATACTGTCTCCCTGGCCGCTATTCATCATTCGGTCAAGGATATCGAGTATCTTGAGCCACAGATCGAGCATTCCACTGGGATGCGGAAGTTGATCGAGATAACGTAAGAAAATCTTGCAGACCAAAGTGGCTGCCTGAACCCGGGTCTCGCCCATTCCAAGTGGGTCGGAGTGGAAGACCTCCGGCTTCAGCAGTCGAAGAGATAGTGGGAAGAGGACCTGTTCGAAAATAGCGGTCCACTCCTTCTCATTAGATGAGTTGATGTCTACCGAAAGGAGCGACCGCTGCAAAGTCGACACTGCATTGTGTCGGATGTCCCGGCAAGGGTTAATGCACTGTGTCATCAAAGAATGGAAAATCGGGGACCAATAGGCGGACCAGGCTATCGGCGAACATTAGTGAATATATACAGTGCACTGGAAAATTGTCACACACCTTCGCCTTCTTCAAGATGCGACTGCTTGATAAGCGCAGGAGCCCGTTGACTTAAATTATAGGTCATATCAATGGCTGTCAATCCACGAGTAACGACTTCATTTTCACTGCTGGTATCTGTCAATTTTTGTTGGTTTCAGTGGTCATGAGAAGGGAGACAAACCTGGACTTTGGCGGCTTAACACCTTTAGCACGCCGAGAGTGCGCGTCTCGTTGCCGTTCCTCAAGGTAGCCCACACTACCTGCGCTAACGAAATCGTTTGCAAGGCTTACGGCGGATTCATAATTATCCCCAGTGATAATGGGTGGCGTCGCGTTCACAATGGTTTGGAGGAGGCCGAATACGAAAGGGGCGGCCTCTTTGTGCTGATGCAGCCGCTGGAGGATCGACCAGAAATCAGGCGAGATAGTGATTTCATTTCCTAGGAGGCCTGCATTCGAAACGCAACGCGAAAGCCCTTCAATCACAGGGACAGCGACACTTTCCAAAATGTCCTGGTCAAAGCCTGATATTCCGTGGAGAATGACAGGAACCCGCATGAAGGGTTGATCCTAAGACACGGAGTTAGTCAGAATCGGCTCGGGAAAGTCAAGGGCTGGGACCGGCCATACATGGCTCAAGCGTAGCAAATTCAACATATAATAAATGATTCGCGACAAAGCCAGGGAGTGCAAGTTTCTCGCATCTCGCATGAAGGCTTGTAAGGAAGTCAGTAGTCGCTCGCCAACTGCCTCTAGTGTTGTTTGATCACGAAGGGTTAGGATAGTCGCTAGTTCCAGGAGATACATCATTCCAGGGTCGTAGTTTGAGCTGTTAGCGTCGAGCCTGCCATTTGCTGACCTCGACGGTCGTTCCGTTTTTACGACGATGACTGCTGGAGCAGACTCTTCAGGCAGGAGTGTCAATACCGTCTCCACGACTGTGCAAACCGTCGACAAAGGCAGCGACCTAATAGTTCTTATGAGTATGACTATTGTACCGAAAGGGGCGAAGGGTATTACTCACTTGATATTAGCCAAAACGTCATTGATCGAACACGCCGTTACACAGTCCACAGTGCAAAGGGTGTTGTCAAGTTCCTCGTCTGACGGCTCCGGGGGATCATCGGCCGCATAACTGGACAGGTAAGATGTAAAAGCAGAGAGTAACCCAGTTTCATTTCCTCGCCCATCACGGTCCACAACTTGTGACGGGGGCTGCAAAGGAATCGGAGGGATCTCAAGCTCAGCATTAAGGCTGGTGCCGAACGGCGGAATAAGGGAATTGATGAACAGGTTGCTGAGAATCCGGACAATATACTCCCAGCTTCGTTGCACTGTAGCTTCATTGCCAGCAAGAACCCGGAAGAGAACCACTGTAGCCAGCTGTGCTCGGAAATCCCTTCCGAACTTCACGGCTAGCTCGCTGACCATGACACTCTTCTTCCCGGCTTGTACCTCGGTGTTAAGAGAGGTGCTTGGAGGTTTGTCTGTTGCCAATGTGCTGATGGAAGCAAGACAAAAGACGATGCGGTCAAAAGCTTCAGTCAATCCATAACGAGCAGCTATTTGGGCGCATTGATCAAAGCCTGTGACAACACGAGAATATACAGCATCGTCAGAGGCCGACATAAAGACGTACGAAAGGGTTGCAACAACTGGTTTCCAGGTCGCTTCAAACATTTCCGCGTCATAAATGTTTGTTTCGCCGATTGCCAGTTCTCCAGCGGTAGTTGAC